TCCTTATAACACCCTATTTTTTATTTTATGTTCTTTACCAGGAATATTTTAATAATATATTTTGAATATTTAATATTATGTTAAAAGGTTACATTTAAAGAAGAAAAATTGTATGTACGCTTAAATGAATTTTAAATGAATTTCCTACATAATGAATTTCAAAGCATAGAACTGTACGATATGAAGTATTGCAGTAATCACAAAATGTTGCTTTTCTTCGAGCAAACCACAATATCCTGACCGAAGTCGAGAGAGTCCCATAGGTTGATAAGGTATTATTAATTAAAAGGAGCGTTCTGAAATATATATATATATAATATAAATAATATAATAATAATAATATAAATATAATAACAGTTCTGAAATATCAAGATATTAAAATGAACTGACTTGAAATATACACTACTTCTGTTTTAAAATCTACTTGTTTTCGTTTTAAAATAAATTTACTGGCAGCGAAGAAAATAATGAATACTGTTTGCCTATTTAAATTAGATATTTATTGCAACATTTTATTAAACAAAGCAAATATTTCGCAGTAATTTGATCATCGGAAAAAGGACCTCGTGTTTGCAAAACACTGTTGCATAATTTTTCCATGTAAAACGTACATCCGATACTCTCCGGCTCGTAGGTTCAGCTAAAGCAATGGGTGAAATGGAAAGTAGACTAATGATTTTATGAGCGCAGAATGTAAGCCGGTCTAGTATGATTAAGTAATGAGATTTTCTCGTGTGTCACTGCCTTACTTCTTTTCTCACGGCTAACAGTGAAATTCCTTTCAATAGCAAATCCTCTTTTGTTAAGACAGTCTTGAAGTTGTTTATGTAACGGGGGAAAATATCGTAACAGTGCAGAATAGGTCCCATACGCAACAAACCCAAGAACAATCGCCATTTTCTACAGTATTAATAAAATCACGGTGGAATGAGATTTTCCAGAATTATGTTACGTACTAAATTTTGTTAACATGTTATATAGAAACGCTGCGATTTAATGAAGTTATATAAAAATTGGTAGACACATTTTTTATGAGGCTAAGTCGTTAAAAAAGATTGTGTTCAATTTATTAATCATACCGTTGAGTTTTAATATCGCTTACTATCGCAGAATTAGGTCATCTATGCCCATTTCGGATTAAAAAAACAAGTGATATCATTTACGTTATAATGTTTAACAGAGAGAGAGAGAGAGAGAGAGAGAGAGAGAGAGAGAGAGAGAATGATATTAACAAGTAATTGATTTTTGCAAAAGATGAACTATCGACTGTTTTCAATGATTGGCACTGTTTCTAAAAACAATAAGATTTTTGAATAATGTATACGAAATATGTTAAACAAAGTGAAAAGAAATAAAATATCGTCGACTCAGTATAGTTTAGAGGAAAACAAGATTTGGAGTTTAGAAATCTGACATTTCCGTATATGTCGCATCACCTTGACTATGTTCATGTTAAACGCTCATTCGGTCATGGTCGTAGATCTATTACGTGTTCACTTCAAAGAGCGCTGATATAACAACCGTACAACTTTGGACAAAAATTGCGAACTTTTTCAATAAAATCGACTGACTAGAACTGTAAACATGTTGATAATTTAATTGGACACGTGGTAAAATGGTCATCATTGTTTATCATTTATCTCTATTTAATTGCTCAATCTGGTACACTAACATCAAGATAAAGTTTTCGAAGAAGCCACGAATTTATATTTTATCTCCATATAACTTATAGACCAGAGACAAAAATTAATTTGGTTCTATTAAACATAATTAATTAGAGTTAAAAGATATTAATCGTCTATCTTCCATCTTCCCCTGTTACTACTGTACTATGTATATCAGAGGATTATAAGAGGCTAATATCGAATATATATTAAATCAAAATTATAATTGGAGATACATTGCTCGAAGCAATCAAAGTTCATTAGAGGAAACAATTCCATCGGGTCAATAAAGTAGAAGGAATAGATTGATATGTTGCACATACGATAGGGTAAGTGGTGATGGCCCACTTTTTTAAAAACATCAATGCATTGAAAAAAAGCCAATATGTACGATAAAATATATTCATAAAAGTACATACACGTGAACTTGTAATATCAAAATGCGTAGAGCTGCATACCAATAAATAAGAATCTTTCGGATACAGACAACAAAAAAGCATGAAACGATAGTTTATTAAAAAAAAGAAGAAGAAGAAACGATGGAAAAGATTAAAATCTCGTGAACCACATGATAATATCCCCTAGCGTTTCTTTGTCTTGTATATGGAGTGAGTTGCTATACAACATGTCAAACACGCCTGACCTGCATTTAAATGCGACTCCTAGCCCACGCACACATACGTGCCTTGTATACCTAACCAAGTAAATGATTAAAAAATAGTTTTTCGTGGGTTTATCAGAAACCGCGTTTCAAGGATTCCTTTCTTCCCAGATTCCGAGTGTAGGCGTGTAGCAGACATTTCAAATGTGTTCTGGTTTTAGTGAAGCGCACGCGCCTCTTTCGGTCAGCTGATTCCCTAGACCTACTTTTTGCCTGATGATGCAGGCTACAAATAGGTATAGTCTCGAGTGCATGTGTGCTGGGTGTATGTATAAATGGATATGTGTATATGCACTTCTCCTGCTGTCACACATATGTATACTCGTACACATATGTACACGCATACATACGTAAGGAAATTCCGTGCCCTAAATCATGCGTTCTACTCGAGGTGATTTTCAGGCCCTTTAAAAATTACAATCGGTGTGTACACTTGAGATAAAAGATGCTTCAACATCGACAGAGATCTTTCTTGTCTCGATTTTTAATCTAGAAAAGGGAAATTAAATACAAGTGGCTCCAAATGAACGAGATAACTCTTTAAAAGATGCAAAGATAATCAGTTTCAAGGATGCTTTTGCTCACAAGGTTTGTAAAGTCTCAGATATACTGATTAAAAGCGGTATCAAAACCCCCAAAAGTATGTTCATAACACCCTAGGAAGAGAGTATTTAACGCCACGTAACATATCTACAGACGCACAGTGCATGCACTGTGTGCATTCATAAAGTTGATGAATTACAAATCACAATGGGTTTTCGTCACGGTATTTCAAAGAAACCGTTACACGAGCGTGTAAATCGTTGGAAACGTTTTTGAATCTTGTATTCAACGGGTCACGCAACGATTGATATGCTAAACGCGTTCCCCATCGAAAGAATTGATTTTTCAAAGAGAGCTTAAACGACGCATCGAGTAAAAAACTACGAATACTAGCTCTCAACGCTCTTCTGTAATATTTATGGTCCGGTAGAGTCCAAACGCACGAAAGGGTTTAGATTCGGACGAATATTGTTTTAAGCGCGCACGATTAGTTCACATGCTAATTCCTCAGATAATAACAACGCGTGTGATGCGTAAAAATACGACAAGCTTAACTGTCACTGTCATCGATTATTTCTGTCATTTATTTACCAATACGTCATATAAGAATAAAAAGGATTCTATAGAATTGATTTATTCGAATTAACTAGAAAACAAATGCAGAATCTGTATACAGAATCGTCAAATGTATTCGACACATACCTGTACCGATTTTATTCAATTCCTAATTCCTCAAGAAGAGGTGAACAGGAAACGGCTGTACTTTGCTGCAAACCGTTCTATACTGGTTCGAGGCGCTTCGTGTAGTGTTCTGCGGAGCACGACGAAATACATTCGTGTGACAAGGGACAGAAGCAAGGAGTGAGATAGAAATGGGGAAAGAGATAGCACCATGATCGCTCCCTCTCATTCTAACTTAAAACGCTGGTTGGAGAAGTGGATATATATCGCGCGATCGTTTCGACGATAGCAAGTGGTGGGGATACTCGTCTTCTTGGTTATGTACCGCCGTACCGCAGCGCCGGCGCTGCATCGACCCATCAGCACTTCGCCAGTGATGTGTTCGCTTCAATGTATCTTCAAAGCACCTATCCATTTTTTCCGATTATTTACGCTTCACGTTTATATAGATTACTTTTGATCGATTACATCCCCGAAGGCTATTCGATTTATATTCATCAACCCATCTCGTCTGCACATATGTTGTACCTTGTATAATACATACATATGCGAATTAACATATCGTTTCGTAAAATGCTAGCACGTGACTCCACTTTCGAAAAACATTTCGAAATGCGATCGCGGTCAAGGTAATCCTAATTGTTTCAGTGACAAAACACGAGGAAAACATTTTTTCCTCGATGATGCCAAACCTTTAACCTTACAAGATCTCGATTCATATAAATCTTTTTGCAAAAGTTTTCAGAAGAGAAGACTTTTATCGTTGCGTTATCATAGTACAGTTCGCATGGCATTTCTATTTATCCATCGTCGCATGTTAATATAGATTTTGAAAAACTTACCCACTGTCGACGTACCATTTTGAATTTTGAAATACGTCTGCTGAACTCGTCGGCGAATCTGTTGAATTGCTACTTGCCAATGATTTCGGTGATGAAAGCGAAACGCCACTTTCCGATGAAGAGTGTGAATGATGCTCTATACAGCTCGAAGGTAATTGCCAAGAATATCTGGATTTCGCAGACGGACTATTGTGGCCTGGACTCGGACTTGGGCTTTGCGAACTTGAACTATGTAACGGACTTTTCGGGCACCTTATTGAACCGGAACTAAAAACGCGGACTAATCGAAGTCTTAAAGAATTTTCTTTGTGTTTCACTTCACAATGATTATTATCACTCGTTGCCTCGTTTGTTTTCAAACAATCCGAATTATTTTTCATCTTAACTGGCAACTTTATGAAAACTTTTAATCAGTGAACGGACACGATTTTACGAGCAACTAAATTCAAATGACATAAAATTTGTTTAAAGAGTGTATAAAGCCCTCTTTACCGGGCTTTACTTCCCGCCATTCTTAACCACATCCTTCCTCCTTCTTATCGAAACAGTTCACAAATATAATATAAATCTGTAAAAGTATAATTTTTGTATTAATTTAAAAATTTCGAATTATTTCCTCATAATTTTATTTAATTATTTATCAGAATTTGTCATATTTTCCTTTTTAGCTCAATTTTAGCCATTCGTAAGGTACAGTGTCTTCTCTACCTACTTGACAAAGTTTAAACTATTTTAATCTTATTGATTATTTATTGCTTTTTAACATTTCGCTGCCCCGTGACTTTGGAAAAATTTGATCTTGGTTTTTAGAAAAAATGAAAACCTTATAAACATATTGTCGAATCTGTATTTTTGTACTGTTGCATTACAGATTATTAATCCGTTGAACGATTCGAACAGTGTACAATCATAAATAAATAAAGTGCACAATATACGTATGGCTCAGCCACCGCAAGAGAGCACCGGAATATCTTTAATGATGAAGGAGTACTGCAAACTCTAGTCAGTTCTAGCCTGACTTTTGTCAATGTATGTAATTACAATATGATTTATCTACTTATAATTCATAATAACAATTGTTCACTATTCAGACTTGCAAACGCTTGAGTACCAGATAAAGAGAGTGTCAATGAATGAGTTGAATGAAATATAGCGAAATGTTTATGAGGTTTGAGATGATAATAGTACTAGTTTCCTCTGGAACACTCGCTGGACACGTTTAGCGTGCTTTGTCATTTTCAGAAAAATCTCAAGCTTATTTTGCTGCTTGTTCAATGTACGCAATTAGATCTACACGTTCCTGTGGTTTCTTCAAACCAGCGAAGACCATTTTTGTACCAGGAATGTACTTCTTTGGGTTTTCCAGGTATTCGAACAGTGTGTCTCTATTCCAAGTGATACCTAAAATAATAATCCATACCTTAGTATAATATCAAGAATAATAGCAAATTTGCTATAATGGTAGCATTTAACATTATAATAATGAAGTAAAACCTTTTGCTTTGTTGGCTTCGGTGTAACTATAACCAGCAGCCTGTCCAGTTTTCCTCCCAATGATTCCATTAAGATTAGGGCCTACCTTGTGTTTACCACCAGCTTCAATGGTATGACACTGTGCACATCTCTGTACAAAAAGCTAAGAAAAAATAAATATAAATAAATTTTTAATTAAGTGCATTTTGTTTTTTGTAATGAAAATGCAAATAAAAACTAGTAATTAGAATTATCGCTTTGAAATGAAAATTAAATGGAAGGCTACATTGATCTTATCAAAAACTGATAAAACGTGACGTTTACTACACACACAATGCGTTTACGTCATCAGATCGGAATGTCGCGGGAAAATAGTATATTATACGAAAAATTTAAATAGATTCGAATGTACTTGAAACTAATATTAAAAAATCCCAATATTTTTAATTTTCTATTCTTACTTTCTTTCCCTTCTCTACATCACCACCAGCGGGAGCACCCATTGTTGCTTCTTCTAAATAACATATTAAAATGTATATATACATATATTAATATATTACATTAATTATTCAAAAGGTAACAATTTTTTTTTGTTTCAAAAAACCTTATTTCGAAGTTCATGTGGATACAAATTCATTCTACTTAATATTTCTTTTGTTACATAAGCACGAACACGTGGAAAATCGGACGTTTCGAAATAATACGCGAATCAAACATGCACAACACTTACAAAATTTGTTAAACCATAAATCTTAACATTCTATAAATTTAAGAAAATATTTTATCAATTCAGGAAACACTTATATCTTCCATTTTTATTCGTGTATCATGTGCATGATGTATACAGAGGCAACAGATTATCTCTAATCAATTAGTGAATTCGACAAGCATTTAGCAATCGACATAGTGGATAAAATGTTCCGCCCTGTGCCAAGTATAAAAATGTACTTTCAACACTACTGTGACGGCATTGACATAACTGTTTGGTTAAAGGTCAAGTGGTACGTCTAATAAGTA